CTTTCTCGCGATGCATGAATCTTTTCCTCGCGATACATGAATCTTATCTTGCAATACATGAATCTCTTTTCTCGCGATACATGAATCTTTTCCTCGCGATGCATGAATCTTGTCTTGCAATGCATGAATTACTTTCTCGCGATGCATGAATCTTTTCCTCGCGATACATGAATCTTATCTTGCAATACATGAATCTCTTTTCTCGCGATACATGAATCTTTTCCTCGCGATGCATGAATCTTCTCTTGCAATGCATGAATCTCTTTTCTCGCAATGCATGATATTTTTCCCGCAATGCAAGAATGTTTTGATGATGCCTCCCTGATACCGAACGAAGATAATGCTTCCGAGCAACATAGGTGATCTTCTAGGTATTTTTGGGATGGTGGCATTGTCTCAACCGACAATATAAATAGAAATGACCATTGGAGTAGTGGTATCATCTCTTTTGACAATACGATATAAATGACTCTCCGGGTAGGAATATTATCATATCTGATAATATAATGCAGATAAATATCTTCCAGATATCTTTAGTTGCTGGAAAATAATAATATTTCTCTCTTCAAGGTTTTCATTTGTCCCATCTCCGAACATAATTGCATGTTCATTATGAACCTTGGCTTGCTGAGAATTTGAATAAAGTAATGCTACTCATATTCCTAATTCTTAGTAGAAGAAGCATAAAATATTTCCTGTATCCACAGAAAAGTTGTCAATTTTGGGGAGCTTTTGCCCTTTTGACTTCTCCATATTCGTTGAATGGAAGAACCTGCTGATTATGAGACAAACCTATAGACCTGCATCCACAGAAAAATTGTTAGTTTAAAAATGAACTGATCTGTGTCGATCTCTTCGGTTGTCTGCTCCTTGTCTTGACTATCTCCGGTTGAACTCTCTGATCTCCCGCTTCTTGATAGATAAGACAAAATATTTTTATGTAAAAAAATAATTAGAACATGAATGAAAAACTTTTAAGGAAAATAGCTTTTCAAAAGTAATGTTTGGAAAAAGGTCACTGCCAAGTGTCATGTCCCGTCAAGCTCTAGCGAACATTTCTAAGTTGGTGCCTCGAGGTCTATCTGATTACTTGTTGGGAAGTGTCCAAAGTTGTTCTAGACTTCACATAAACCTTATTGAAAATTTTGGGGTCATCCTCAAAAATTTTTGTCCCAGTTAACTGTCTTGGCTTATCTTTAACCATTGATGAGCAAATCACGAAATTTTTTAGATCCTCTCAAAAATTCTGTCCCAGTTGCAAATCTCAAAGTAGCATCAGTCATGAATTTGTTGGAGTGATCTCTTTCTCGAGAATTTGTGAGACCCTCTAAAAAATTATGTCCCAGTTTCTATTGTAGAGAGTGATAGAAATAGGAATCTTACGGGAAATATGACCGAGCCCTTGTGGCGCCTACGTATCCCGTTGAGGCAGGAATCAGGTCAAACGTAGTTCCCCCTTTCGAGGATTAACAAAATAAGAAATTTACAAAGAAACCGACCGAGGCCGACATAGACCGCCTACGTATCTCATTCTTGAGAATTCAGGTCAGACGTAGTTCATTACAAAGCGATAAAATTTTGAACGAAACGATTACAAGGGAATGACAGAAAATCCAAACTGAAATTTCACACATAGTATCTCTTGACAGCATCTGAGTTGATTGGTTTCGGCCATTCGGTGCCATCCATCTCCGACAGGATCAAGGCACTCCAGATAACACTTTGCGAACCATGTAGGGTCCTTGCCAATTTGGTGCGAATTTCCCTTTGTAATCATCCTGATGAAGGAAAATGCGTTTGAGGAACCAACTGGCCGATTTCAATATCCTGGCTCTTACTTTCTTGTGGAAAGCGCGAATCATTCTCTGTCGAGAAAGTTGACCGTGGCAAACAGCAACCATCCTGTTCTCATCGATCAATGTCAACTGGTCGATCCGCTTGCGAACCCATTCAGCATCACTCAATTCAGCTTCTTGGATGATTCTTAATGAAGGTATTTCAACTTCTGCAGGAATAACTGCTTCTGTTCCATATACTAGCAAATATGGAGTAGCTCCAACTGATGTTTTGACAGTTGTTCGGTAACCTAACAAAACATATGGCAACATCTCGTGCCAACCTCTGCGATTGTCAATCATCTTCCTCAAAATCTTCTTTATGTTCTTGTTGGTGGCTTCTACAGCTCCGTTCATTTGGGGACGATAGGCGGTGGAATTTCGGTGAGTAATCTTGAATTCTTCACATATCTCTCTCATCAAATGACTGTTGAGATTCGCTCCATTATCAGTAATGATGAATTTTGGTATTCCAAACCTACATATCAAATTATTGCGAACAAAATCAGCTACAACCTTCTTGGTCACCGACTTATATGAAGCTGCTTCCACCCACTTGGTGAAGTAGTCAATAGCAACCAAAATGAATCTGTGTCCGTTAGAGGCGGCTGGTTCTATTGGACCAATGACATCCATGCCCTAAGCTACAAACGGCCAAGGCGAACTCATAGCATTGAGTTCATGAGGCGGTACCCGAATCGAATCTCCATGCACTTGACATTTATGACACTTCTGCACAAACTTGCAACAATCGTGCTCCATAGTCATCCAAAAATAACCGGCTCGAAGGATCTTTCTTGCCAAAGTGAGCCCGTTCATGTGAGTACCACAGACTTTGACATGTATTTGTTCTAGAAGCTTTACAGCTTCATCAGCATCAACACATCTGAGGAGACCTAACTCTAGAGTCCTCATGTAAAGGACTTCCCCACTTGCAAAGAAATTGAGGGCCATGCGGCGTATCGACTTCTTCTGGTTGAACGTTGCATTCTCGGGATAGGTTCCGGTCTCCAAGTAATTCTTGATGTCAAAATACCAAGGTAAACCATCTGGTTCCGCTTCAACATATGAAAAATAGACAGGTTGCTCTTTTACCTCTATATCCACTGGATCGATATAACTTGTATCTGGATGCTTAATCATTGAGGCAATGGTGGCCAGAGCATCAGCCAACTCATTCTGTGTCCTGGGAGTGTACCTGAATTCAATCTTGCGAAATCTTTTGCACAACTTCTGTATATACTGCACGTACGGTGTGATCTTTGGGTTCTTTACGGCGCATTCTCCTTGAACCTGATGAATCAGCAAATCTGAATCTCCAATAACCAGCAACTCATGAACATTCATATCAATTGCCATCTTCAAACCGAGGATGCAAGCTTCATACTCAGCCATGTTGTTCGTGCAATTAAATCGGAGTTTAGCCGCCATAGGATAGTGTTGACCAGATTCTGACACTAAGACCGCTCCGATACCTTTCCCTTGGTGATTTGCCGCTCCATCAAAGAATACTCTCCAACCAAGGTATGCCTCAGAAATATCTTCACCAACAAACGAAACATCCTCATCGGGAAAATAAGTCCTGAGCGGTTCATACTTTTCATCAACTGGATTCTCCGCAAGATGATCAGCCAAGGCTTATATCTTTATCGCCTTCTGAGTCACATACACAATGTCAAACTCACTCAAAAGCATTTGCCATTTAGCCAACTTCCCGGTCGGCATCTCTTTCTGGAAAATATACTTCAACGGGTCCATCCTAGAAATAAGGTATGTGGTATAAGAAGACAAATAATGTCTCAACTTTTGAGCGATCCAAGTCAAAGTCACAACATGTCTCTCCAAAAAGAGTGTAACGAGCCTCATATGGAGTGAACTTCTTGCTCAAGTAATAAATAGCTCGCTCCTTCTTCCCTGTCTCATCATGTTGACCAAGCACGCATCCCTAATGCATTATCTGAGACCGACAAATATAGCAATAATGGACTCCCTTCTCGCGGAGGGACCAACACTGGCGGATTGGACAAATAGTTCTGATGGCATCAAAAGCAGTTTGACATTCTCCGGTCCACTTGGTCGAGGCATCTTTTTTTCAATAACTTAAAGATGGGCTCGCACACCACGGTGGATTGAGCAATGAACCGGCTGATGTAATTCAACCTACCTAAAAAACTCATCACCCCTTTCTTGGTTTTCGGAGGAGGTAATTCCTGGATCGCCTTGATCTTGGAAGGGTCAAGCTCAATGCCCCTCTTACTGACTATAAATCCCAACAACTTGCCAGCTGGACTTGATTATGACATCATCTACATACACCTCGATCTCCTTATGAATCATGTCATGAAAGATGGTTGTCATGGCCCTCATATAAGTAACATCGACATTCTTGAGACCAAAAGGCATCACCCGATAATGATATACACCCCAAGCCGTGATGAAAGCTGTCTTTTCTGCATCTTCTTCGTCCATCAGGATCTGGTGGTAACCCGCATAACAATCCACAAACGACTGCATCTCATGCTTAGCACAATTATCAATGAGAATGTGAATATTTGGTAATGGAAAGTTATCTTTCGGGCTAGCTTTGTTGAGATCTCTGTAGTCAACACAAATTCTGATATTTCCATCTTTCTTGGCAACCGGTACAACGTTAGCTAACCAAGTCGGATACTGCGTCACCTCCACTACTTGGGACTCGATCTGCTTTGTAATCTCCTCTTTGATCTTCAAACTCAACTCAGGCTTGAACTTCCGAGTCTTTTGTTTTACTGGACTGAAATTTGGATTGATCGGCAACTTGTGGGAAACCATATTCGTACTCAACCCTGCCATATCTCTATAAGATCAGGCAAACACATCAATGTATTCTCTGAGCAAACGAACCAAGTCCCTTCTTTGAGCTTCAGTCATATGGACGCTGATTCTGATTTCTTTAACACATTCCCCATCTTTGAGATTCACAGTTTCAGTTTCTTCAAGATTTGGCTTGTGTTGATTCTCAAATTGTCGAAACTCCTCAGCAACATGTTCGGGTACCTCATTTTCTTCTTCATATTCCTCACACTCATCATCACCTGCCTCATTTCGTTCACTCGGTTCATGACATGACATGACATTGGCAGGTTTTAAATTAATATCACTGAAAATCATAAACAAACAAAGTTAGGAAAGTAAAATATAAATAGATAAATAGACAAACAAATTTCGATAAATGAGGCTTTTTATTTAAATTGAAAGACAAGCACAAACTTTGGCCATGGCCGAGGGTCATTTTGGCTTTTTAAACATCACGAGGGAATTTAAAAGCTTCAAACAAATAACAATTGCATAAAGGGTGGGTCTCGGGCCTCTTTCGGACCACTATCGATTTTAAAACAAACAAAACGCATGTCCTTTCTACCCAGATGAGCGGGAAATCAGGAGTGGTGTGGAGGTCCAGTTCTGCAATTGCTCATCAGGTTCTGCATCATGGATGTCTGATGTCCCAGCTTCTTCCTCGATGACTACGTGAACTTCTTCGAAAAGGCCCTAGATTCCTTCCCCGAGACCACCATCGTTGACATGTTCTTGCACCGGGAATGACTGGTACAGATGAGGAATTGGCCTAGCCAACGCTTGGTCAACCCTCTTGTTCTTCATCTCTGCTTCATCAGCATCCGTGGGGACATACCCCAAACCAAACTTTGCTCATTTGGCAGGAATTTGGACAGGCTCGATATTTCTTTAAAAGTGTTCCCCCAATCCGAACCCTGGTTCGAAACCATTTTGGAGCATGATAGTAGCAATTATTTTGTACACGGCAGGCATAAGAGGTTGTAGAGCCAAGTCAACACCGGTGGCATTTACCAGCTCCACCGTGTAGAAGTCAAAACCTCGAGAGACATCATCGACGGTCGGTGCATACCCGTTGGAATGGATTCCCTCACCATAAATGACCAATTCCTGGTCCTTCCAAACAAATTTCATCAGTTGGTGAAGGGTAGACGGCACAACCCCAGCCATATGAATAAATGGTCTTCCCAGAAGCAGGTTGTAGCTAGTGTTGATATCCAACACCTGGAACTCTACGTTAAATACTGTAGGACCCACCTGGATATCTAAGTTCACCGCGCCCAATGTATCTCTTTGCACTCCATCAAAAGCCCTCACATTGACTTGGTTCTGGTGAAGCTTTTCCAAGTCAAATTTCAGCTGCCTTAGAGTCGAAAGTGGGCAAATATTAAGACCGGACCCATCGTCGACCAAAATACGATTTATTATCTTGTCTCGACACTTACAAGTGACGTGCAGAGCCTTGTTGTGCATCTTGCCTTCAAAGGGCAGCTCTTCGTCACAGAAACTAATTCGGTGCCCTCGAACAACTTGGTTTATCATAGCCGCTAGATTGTCGCTGTTAGTACCCACAGGCACATAGGTGTCATCCAAAGCTCTCATCAAAACCTGTCTATGCAACTGCGAACTCATCAATAAAGCCCACACTGAAATCTGAGCCGGCGTCTTCTCTAGATGCTTCACAATCGAATAATCTTTCGGTTGCATTTTTCTCCAGAACTCCTCAGCTTCGGCTTCACTGATCGGCCTTTTTGCTTGGTCTTTCTTCTGCCCTCCTTGAGCCAATTCTACCGGTGTGTAGCACCTGCCGGATCTGGTCATACCCTGGGTAACAGCCGTTTCAATAACAAATTTGGGTTGGGTAAGAGTTTCTCTTGGCACCAAGGCAATAGCCTTCTCGGGTGTCAGAATCACAAACTCTTTCGGTAACAGCCGTTTCAATCACAAACTTTGGTTGGGTAAGAGTTTCTCGTGGCACCAAGGCAACAGCCTTCTCGGGTGTCAGAATCACAAACTCTTTCTTCTCTCTGATGCTCAACGAAGCTACAGCCCTTTCTAGTTCATCAGAAATAGCCGGAACTATTGCCTTTGTCACGCACCAATCATCATCTGTCTCTATCATATTGATAGTGGCACCTCCATGATTTGGCAAAGGATTACTATTGACATTGGGTGCGACTGTCTGAAGAGAGACCACATTCTCGTCAATCAGGTCTTGGATCTTATGCTTCAGATTGATACAATCCTCGGTATCATGTCCAACACTGCTGGAGTGATACGCGCACCTCTGATTAGGTCTTTAAAACTTTGAGCTAGTGTCAACTGGCTTGGGCCCCACTGGATGAATATATTCTGCCGCGGTTAATCGCTCAAACAATTTTGTTCGGCTTTCAATGAGCGGAGTGAAAATTCTAGCTGGCTTTTCTCAAATCTAGGACGGGAAGGATCGTAATTTCCTTGTTGCGGAGGAGGCATCTGACGATAATTTGGAGTGTTTGGTACGGGGGGGCTTGATATCTGGGATATGAGTTGGTTTGGTAATTTGGTTGTGGAGCTTGGTAGTTCGGGGGGGTATTTTGGTAAAGTGGAGCTAGGGTTTGGTACGTCGGGGGAGGAGTTTTGGTAATTTGTTTTGAACATTGGCACAGTTGGGGGTGGCATTTCGGTAGTGATGAGATGGGGTTTGGTAAGCTGGAGGGGGAGTTTGGTAGACAGTAGGACAAGTTTGGTAGCTAGGAGGGGGAGTATTTTGATAGCTGGGAAGAGGGGTATTTTGGTAACTAGTGGGAGGGGTATTTCGGTAATCAGTCTGTACATAACAAGCCGGGTACGAACTTTGTGAAGGTTGAGAACGACCTATGATGATGATTTCCTTGGGGTCTTCTTCCCCTCGTAAGAGATAGATGACACATCCTCTCTTTTCTTCTTCAACAAGCCCGAAGATCCGGGCGAGGCAGCAACACGGGCAATCTTCCCGGTTCTCAATCCATCTTCGATAGTCTCACCTACCTTGACTATCTCGGCAAATTTTGCTCCAACGAGCAACATGATTCTGTCATAATACTCGGGCTCTTGCACCCGCACAAATACCTCGACAATTTTCTTTTCTGACATAGGAGGTCTAACTCTAGCTGCCTCCTTTCGCCATCTATATGCGAATTCTCTATAGCTTTCGGTCGGCTTCTGTTTCATCTTCTCCAATGAGTAGCGATCAGGAACGATCTCCACATTGTAGGCGAATCGTTCGATGAAGTCCTTAGCCAAAGCGTTCCAGCTAGACCACTGTCTCGTTTCATGAGATGTAAACCATTCTATAGCTTCTCCGCTAAGACTTCGGCTAAAAAGCCACATTAATAAAGCTTCGTCTCTCCCAACTCCCACGAGTTGGTCACAGTAGGCCCTCAGGTGTGCTAATGGGTTCCCCGTTCCTCCGAAGATATCAAATTTTGGCACCTTGAACCCTTCCGGGAGGTCCAAATTCGGATGAATGTACAGGTCTTCGTAACTCAACCCGGCTACCTCAGGAATGCAGTTCAACTCCTTCATGGCTTTTCTAATTTCCTCTTTCAAATCTATCTTGGTGGTCTCTTCCTTTGACCTCCACTCTCTCTCCCTCTCCTCATAGTGGTCGAGCTCCGAACCATGGGCGTCATGCTCGTTGGGGACCGGTATTTGGAAAGTGGCTTTTTGCGGTAGTGGTGGAGCAATAGAGGGACTCTGGCCATTTAAAGTGGCTTGGTAATTTTGAGGGAAGGTCTGGGGGTTGGTATGCTGATTTTGGTGATGGAAGGAAATGTGCGGGCGGTTAACATTTTGGCTTTGAGGGGGTAGGCCAGTTTGGTGGTTTGCATTGGGGGAAGGGAGTGGTGCTTGGGAGTTGGTATTTTGAGGAGGCGGTGGTGTTTGGTAAGAGGCTGAGGCGTAATGGGGGTTTTGGGTGGTAAGGTCAATGATGGAGGGATTACGAGCAGGACTTAAAAGTGGGTTCTGAGTTTGTTCCACGTTAGGAGGGGGAATTTAAGCTGGAGGTCTTCCGTCTGGTTGAGCGTTGACAGCAAAAATCGGAGGAGGCAAATCTTGTTTTCTCTGCATCTCGACCCTCATCTCAGCAATTTGTTGCATCAACTGCAGGATCAGTTCATTTTGATCAGCAAGGGTAGGCTGAGCCACCACGACATCAGTAAGGCTGGTTTCTTCGTTGTTATCACCCATTGCTGCCTTTCCCTTTTGTGAATTTTGATTGGGGAAGGAATCTGTAGGCCCTTTTGATCTGGTAAAATAGGATGATCGGCCAGTGTATCAACACAGATCAGTTCTAACGACCTGTAGAGAAAAACAACTCAAAGGAAAATCTGTTAGTATTGGTTCCGGACGAATAATGCAAGATATCACATAGAAGGCATATAAACACATAAGAGTTGCTTCGTTTGAGGACACGTTAACCCACGAGTGATGGGGACTAATTTTTGAACATACAGGAATTTGCTCGTTTTATTTTGGGGCTAGTGACTCAGAGAGGCTAAATTGCGTTGAACTAAGGTCTTCTTGCTGCATCTTCTAGCATCTGTTGATCTGAACTAAATGTTTCCTTGTAGAATGAAAGAGGGGGAAAAGAAATTTTTTAAAAAGATAGGGGTCGGGCCTTGAAAGGCTGCCTACGTATCTCCTAAGGAGAATTCAGGCCCTACGTAGTTCGAACACAAAGGAAGTTTCATTTTCATTCATTCATTTCTTGAAGATTACAAGGGAAGTAAAAAAAACAGACAATAAAGCTCCTAAAAGACAAAATGTGCCTCCACCCAAGCCATTCTTCTTCTGATTGTCGCATTAATCACGGGGGGTAAACTCATATGCTTGGAGGGTGGTTTTCTCATTTCCTTCCTTCATCCCCGAATAGGAGGCCTATAGACAATTTCCTCTCCAGTATCTTCTTCAGTAGCTTCAGGTCCGGTGTCTTTGGGACCACTGATGTTGGCCTCTTGGTTAAAGAAAGAGTGTTTTCCAAGTGGTTTTTGAAGCCTCATGGTTATGTCATTGTTGAAGGCATCATGTTCCTTCCGCATAGCAACTGTCTCCTCGTTCATGACAACATATCTTGCCATCTTAGCCGCTAACTCCGCGTCCAGTGCTGCACTTTTGGCTTGCGCAGCTGCGGTGGCTAATTCTACTTCTATTCTTCTTTTTT